GATGGCTGTTTGCGTTGCATTGTTTTACAGGAGCCAGGTGCCATTTTCCAGGGAATCGAAGAGCACTGGCTCTCTCTGGGAAACTTGTAGGAATGCTTCTTTGAACTGCCTACAGCTAATTTCACTATGGAATTTACCTACCACTTTATCCTCCTGTGGCTTCCCTCTCAGGGGAGTGCCCAAGAAGGCTGGTGGGTTGCCTGCTTTTGTGTTGTGGATGTTGGGCAGAGGTTCCTGCAGCAGCTTGGAACATTGACGAGTGTTGGCCGAGCTGCTTTAGACGCCCAGGCACACAGGCAGAAATTCCCCAGTAAGAAGTTGGTCAGAGTATCCCCTGGTGGAGGTCAGCAGGGCTTTCCCCAGCCTCAGACTAGCTGCACAGGGTCGCGCTCACCTAGCTGGGTGTGGCACAGGCATAAATGCCCTATGCTAAAGGGAGTGGTCTGGAGGTCAGCAGTGGAGTGTGAGGACAGGAAAGAGACAAAGAGGAGGGAAAAAAATTAAAAAGTAAGCCGGCTGAGACTGTGCGGGGATATAGAGAAGAGAGGGAAGCAAAAGCAACAATGTAGCTGAGTCCCACTCCCTGGTTGTGGAGCTGCAAGGGTTTAGCCCCCGCCCGAGGAGGTGGCTGTGGCAAGCTGTGGCTGTGTTGAGAAAAAGCCCCTTCGCAGCTCTCCAAGACTGTGCGGGGATAGAGAGAAGCGATGGAAACAAAAGTAATGCTGTAGCTGAACCCCTATCCCTGTCTGTGGAGCTGCAATGGTCCAGTCCCTGCCCCGAGGCAGGCTGTGGCAAACTGTGTCTGTGTTGAGAACAAGACCCCCTTATGGGCTCCAAATGGTCCCGGCTCCAGCAGAGACTGTGATGGGGCCAAGGTCAAGCCCCAACTGGCCTCCACTGTGGTAAGTCAAAAGCCCTCAGCCCCTCAAAACCCCGTGGGTCTGTACCTACTTATCTTTATGATGCTCCTCTTGCATTCCAGCAGCGTTGAATTTCCCTCTAAGCAACTCTCCTTGGCTGAATTCTGTGGAGTCCCTCTGGTATGTGTCACTCCGTCACCATCTTCCCGGAAGTCCTTATCTACTTTCTTATAACATTAATCTGGTAAGCATGGTTCTGCCTTTCTGAATGTTCTTGAAAGTTTTGCCCTTTCACCAACCCCCATTGTTTGTGTAAATAGTATCCAGACACTTAAGAGTTTAATCTGTACAAGTCTATAATTCATGTATTGCAGGCTGAAACTAGCTTATACTTGAATAAATTCCCTTTGTCAATAGTGTTTTAAAGTCTAAATTAATGACACTATCAGTAGAATTACCTTAAGTTCCAGGGAAATGATTTATAATATTCTCTAACAGAAAATGACAATGTTTCTAAGGCAAACCAGTGAACAATGTTTCTAAGATGAATGGATTTCGGGCTCATACTTAATTCTAGTTCCAATCTAAGAACCATTAGTTCTTATGACATGATCCTGCTTGATACTCACCTTCATTAAGAGGTCACTGAAGATATTAGTACTATAGCAAAGTGCAGTGAAGAAATATGTTGGTGCCCAACTGTCAGAAAGAATAGCATCTGGTGTCTTAAAGGCTTGCTTTAAAACAATCAGCCATCTAAGTTAGGTGCTAACTAAGTCCACATGGAAGAAGCACACCAACCTGTGTGATCCAAGGATTGTGAATGATAAGATCCAAATATGAAGCAGGGAATGGTATCAGAGCTTAAATTATGAATGCCCTGTTTTCAGAGGTTTATATATGACAGTGGAAGACCAAAATCCATTTTCAGGGTCGTTATATGGATAAAACCTCTGGTGAATTCCCTCTGATGATAGGTAAGGGGTGTGAAGAGCCCTGTTATCAGACAGAGAGCACTGGAAAGTCAGTTTTGGCACATGTAGTTTGGCTAAATGCAACACCTTATCATTTGATCTCCCCTTTGACCCATTTTAAAGTTGTTTCAGATTTTAATATTTTCTGCTTTATTTTCGATTGAGGGTTTTCTATGTTTTGTATACTTGTTGCTGTTGTTGTTTGCTTCTTGTTTGATATTTGTATGATTTTTCTGTATATGAAATTCACACCAGCCTGTGTGATCACGAGGTGTCGAAGGGATCAGGTATCAGGCATCATGAGAATAAAAAATCTTA